TCTTACCGGGCCTTCGGCAACTCGGCGGAACTCGCGTACAGCCACCTGAAGAGCCTGTATCAAGCAACAGACAGCGTAAATCAGAGCAGGTTGATGGCGCAGCTGACAACAGTTGAGATGAAACCAGGAGATAAGGGGATGGCGTATATCAGCCGATGTCGCGAATTGCGCGACAAGCTTCTTCGATGCGGAGGGTCAATCTCTGAGGACGCCTTCGTGACGGTCATCATTGGTGGTCTCGGTCCTCAATGGCGCGCCACCAAAGCCATTCTTCGAGCCCACGGGAGAATCTCTGAAGCAGCACTCTGCGCCGAAATCCACGCCGAGCAGCAGGACATGGACCTGCAAGAAGAACGACACAGGAAGAAGACAACAGCATCAAGTTTGCGTTTCACACCCAACGACGACACAACAACTACAACAACCGACAACAACAACCGAAGCCAGTACCTCCCTTCTGCCACATCTGCAAAACTTCAGGGCACCCGCGCACGCACTGCCCAAACCGTCAACAGTCAACAACTCCGCAGCGGCATCTACGGCCTTCAAGCAACCAAGTCACGTCAACACAGGCGAACCCAACGACCCAAATTCAAGCTTCAACGACTTCAACGGGACAACCTGCGCAAGGAGCAAGAAATATCGTTAGCTGTATGGCAAGACTGAGTGACTCTTGCGTCACGGAATCACCACCGTACTACTCACCGGAAGAACAACTCGATGAAACCACTCCTCGACGCGAACTACTTCACCCGAACCCGACGTACGCCGCCATCGCCCAAAGCGAGCCATCCGGGAAGGACACATGGTTCCTGGATAGCTGCTGCGGGCAGCACATGTGTTCTTCGGGACGCTTCGTACAACGAGAGTATCAGCTTCAGCGAGAAGTCGTCATCCCCGTCGCCAACAACCAAAACCTGCGCACACGACGACAAGGAATCGTTCAACTTCAGTCACGGGAGACAAACGTCATCCTACAAATGTCCAAGGTTTTAATTGCAGAAGGTTTCGGATACAACTTACTGAGCGTCAGTCAGCTGATGGCGAAAGGCATCCATCTTGAAGCAGACAGCACCACCCAGGAGTTCAAGCTGTACCACGGGAGAGGCGGTCTCTACATCGGAAAGGCGGTCCTCAAGAACAACGTCTTCGTTCTTGACTTCGTTCCGGACCTTGGCACCGCTGACAGTGACGCCATCGTCAATTTTACTAACTGGACGCACCCTCCAGACCTTGATCCAGACTTCAGTCCGGGCGGCTTCTGGTACTCACACACCATTCCTGAAACAGAAAGAACAAGAGCGTTAGCAACGATTCAACAGTCGGCAGCAGCAGAAACAACATCGGCAGCAGCAGAGACAACATCGGCAGCAGCAGAGACAACATCGGCAGCAGCAGAGGCAACATCGGCAGCAGCAGAGACAACATCGGGAGTAGCAACGACAACAGCAGTAGGAACATCAACACCAGTCGCCGGTCCTTCGACGGCACCACACTTCATCGACGACACGCCACCAACACCCGCACAGCAACTTCAACCAGCACCGCGAGAAGTTCACCGTAGCGCCAACTTCACCGCCGGCTTCTACTCCAACTCCGACATGTACCGACGCTCCCAAGGACACCGCGCCACTGAAGGAACCTGGCACGCAAGGATGGGACATCCGAGTCACACGGTGTTAAACAACACAATAAGAGCAGGAGTTCTTGACAAGGACTCACTCCTACTGACCGACGGCAGAGAACTTCAGCGAGCTCGAGGAACATGCTTGCCCTGCCCCGAAGCAGACCTAACGCGACAACCATTTCCATCTCACCACAATCCAAGCGCACCAGCTTACGCACCGCTCGAGAAAGTGTACAGCGACATCTTGTACAACCGCGAACCTGGACAGAACACTTACAACTACACGATTACCTTCATCGACGCCGCAACCAGATACGTCTGGCACCTCAACCTACCCAGCCGCGACATGGCCTTCGAAGCGTTCGTCGCGTGGCTTCCTGCAGCAGAAAGAGAATCGGGCGTAAAACTGAAAAGTTTTCAGTCCGACGGGGGAGGAGAATACACCTCACAGAGGTTCAAGGACTACTTGGCAGAGAAGGGAATCAAGCGGCTCATCTCCCTTCCCTACGCCCATCAACAGCAAGGTGTAGCAGAACGGATGAACAGGACACTTCAAGCCACCATGCGCAAGCTGCTACGTGGCATGCATCTGCCCAACCACCAGTGGCCCGAAGCAATGGACCACGCCGTCATGCTGCACAACTTGCTCTCGTCATCATCGCTCCCGAACAACGCATCACCGCACCTGCTGTGGACAGGAAAATTGGGCAACACAAAAATGTTACGAGTTTTCGGGTGCATGGTACAGTACCGACCACCATCTGCACGCGCCGGTCGATTCTCCCAACGAGCACAGTGGGGAGTACACCTGGGCATCGAAAAACACCACAACGCATGGAAAATCTTCGACATCAACAGCAAGGAAACAGTCGCAGCACGTGATGTAATCTTCTACGAACACCTCACCCTCGACGTTCATCTCGCGTACGTCAGAGCCAACAGACCTGACCTCACGGGCGGATTCACTGGCACCCGAGCCTTCGCCTCGGCAGAAGACGAAGCTGACTGGGACGAGCAGAACGTGGACAGAGCCTCGGAAGAAGCCGGACCTCTTCCCTACTGCCCAGTGGACGTACCAATGGACGACGAAGACCCACGCGAAAGCATCAACGCCGAAGTTTACTACCACTTCGCCGACAACGGTTACGTTACACCTGCTGAAGTCAACACCAACGAAGCAGAACGCGTAGGACCCAACTTCGCACCTGATCCAGAAGCTGGAGACGAAGCAGTCTATCCCGAGGACACCACACTCCCCCGCTACACACAGAGTGGACTCCAAATCCTTGGCCTCGTCACCGCAGTCCACGGCGCCGACATTCCTAAGGAGCCTGCGACGGTTCAACAGGCTCTGGAAGGTCGTTCCTATCGGCGTAGCACGAAACAAGACCATACTTACCGGAAAATGGGTCTTCCGTGTAAAGACGAAAGCTGACGGCACCATCGACAAATTCAAAGCACGCTGGGTCGTGCGCGGCTTCGACCAGGAGCACGGACGTGACTTCACCGAAACCTTCGCTCCGGTCAGCCGCCACACTTCACTGCGAATTCTCCTCGCGATCGCCGCCATGAAGAAAAAGAAGCTGCGACAAATCGACGTCGCAAATGCTTTTCTCTACGCACCTGTTGACGCAGAGATTTTTGTGGAGCTACCACACGGCTCCAACACAGACTCCACGCATGTCTGCCAGCTACTAAAATCACTCTACAGGATCAAACAGGCCCCGCGACTATGGCAACAGTACCTACACGCTCGCCTCATCCGCATCGGCTTCAAGCAACTCCCACACGATCAAGGGATGTATCGCCTCACGAAGAACGACGACTACGTTCTACTAATCGTCTACGTGGACGATCTCCTCTACATCGGGTCAAATGACGGCATCACTACCTGGTTCGAAGGGGAGCTGCAGCAAGACCTCACACTCACGGTCTCGCCTACCGTCACTCAGTACCTCGGCCTCAACATCCGAGAAGAAGAAGACGTCCTCAGCGCCAAAAAGTACGCCGACACCATCGCCAAACGCTTCGGTCTCACGCCGGCCGCGATCTCAACACCATACCGCTACACGACAGGAGCCGACAAGGGAAAATCCACCTTACTCAAACCCGCCGGCGTACGCGACTATCAGAGGAAGCTAGGATGTCTCCTCTTCGCAGCTGTTACCTGCCGTCCCGACCTCTCATACTCCGCAAGCCAGCTCGCCACCTACCTCAAGAAGCCCGAAACAGAGCACCTGGCGGAGCTCGACCGAGCTCTTCACTACTTCATCAGCACCCCGACGATCGGCCTAACCTACCACAAGAACGCAACCGCACCAACCAAGCTAATCGGCTACGTCGACGCCGATCACGCCGGCGACTCCGACAACAGGCGCTCACGCACCGGCTACGTTTACCGCCTCGAACCTATCGGTCCTATCTCCTGGCAGTCGAGCAAGCAGGAGTTAATCGCGCTATCTTCAGCTGAAGCAGAATACATCGCACTCTGCTCAGCCACCAAAGAAGGCCTTTATCTTCGCGAACTGCTGGAAGAAGCAAAGTTGGCTGAGTTACCCAGCTTCACCCTGTTCTGCGACAATCAATCAGCAATTCGCATCGCCAACAAAAACGGCTTCGCGAACAGGACGAAACACATTGCCCTGCGCTACTTCTTCGTGAAAGACGAGATCGAGAAGGGGAGACTTCAGCTGTCATACTGCCCCACGTCCGAGATGGCAGCCGACTATTTGACCAAGAAGCTCGGAAAGCAGAAGTTCGAGTACTGCATGCTGCTGACTGGACAGGGCCACGTCATCAGCAGCGACACTCCAGAAGCGAAGGGGAGTGTTGGAAACAGTAAATCTTAAGCGCTTCAGTCGTGTCGAAACATCGCACCAGAAGCGAAGCAAGCAGTACCGAAACAAACGCGAGTCAACCCTCGGAGGTTGAGAGGTTGCTGGAGGTTACGCGAAAGTCAAAGGTCAAGCGACCTTTGACCTGACAAATACAGCGCGACAGTTAAGGACACACAACTGACTCGTTACAGAGCAGTTGCCCGAGTCGTACTGTATCGAACCGCAACAGCAACAGTAAAGTAGTTACAAACTGCATCCTTTCATATTCCCTGTATTACTATATAATCTTGTACTTCCTTGCTATAATCAATCTACTTTGCCCTCACATACCAGCGCAAGGTGGTTCACAATCTTTCGTTAAAGCTTCCGCTACTATCCTACCCAGAGTTCTCCCTTGAAAAGATCCTAAGGGGCTATCTCAGCCCAACAACTTCAACATTCATTAGTATCGGGTCAGCACCAGGCCAAGATGCCCACTGTACAAACTTATACCATTACTTGAAGCCAAATAACATGTTCAGTACAAGTTGCAGTTATCAGCCCCCCACATTCACCTTCCTGTTTCTTGTGTTACCGTTCTTGTTGCCATCACCATACCCAGCAACACCATCAGTAAAGGCCACTGTATCCCCTACACCTACCCCATCGTCAGATAATGGAACACTTTTTTTTGTTAATCCTGCAGTGGTACCACTACTTGTGTCACTAGACCCACCCTCGTTTGTGTCACCTGCTGGATCAGTAGACCCATTATCACCGCCACCATCACCACCACTATCACCGCCAGCATCACCACCAGTGCCACCCACACCGCCCCCGCCCACTTTGCCGCCCACTTTCTGCGCCTCACTCGCTGCCCGAGCAGCCGCCTGCTGCCTCACTGTAGCCTCCTTGGCAGCTAGCTTAGCCGCCGCCTTAGCCGCAACCAACTCCCTCTTCACTTGCTGCACCTCCGCCTGCTTCACCCATTTCAACCCCAGTGCATCCGCCGCTTCCGCCCACTTCACCGCACTCAACCCCTCATCACCCGCGTCCACCGCCTCCCGTGCCGCCGCCTCCGCCGCAGCCTGCGCTTCCCCAGCCTCCCTCGCCGCATCCTCCGCCTGACTCTTAGCTAAAACCAGCCGATCCACCTCAGCATCCGCCTGTTGCTTATCCTCCATTGCCTTATCCGCAGCCGCTTGCTTCTCTGCCGCGGCAGCAGCGGCAGCACTGGCCTTTTCAGCCATCTGGGCTAGCCGGGCAGCAGCCACCCTCTCTCTGAACGTCCTCTTCTTCTCCTTAGCCGCATCGCGCTCGGCTCGAGCCGCGTTCTTTCGAGCCGTTCCTTGCCGCTTCTTCGCCTCTAGCTCCGGTTTGCTCCTCTCTGCTTCGTCGACAAGCTCTTGCCTCTTCTCCTCCACTGCATTAGCAGCCTCCCCAGCTGCTTCCTCTTTCCCATCTGCCTCCTCTCTCGCCTGGTCCGCTTTAACCCTCGCAGCATCTGCCTCCTCCCGCCTCTTTTTTCCGCTCGCCCCGCCCCTAGAACTCTTGGCATCTCTCGCTTTTTTATCTGCCCGGGCTTGAGCTGTGTCTGCGTCTTTCTCCCTCTGCTGAGCAATCGCATTGGCCTTTTCAGCATCGGCCTTAGCAGCCTCTGCTGCCTGTGCAGCCTTTTGATACTCCCTCTTTTTCTGCTCCAGGGGAGAAAGCTGCTTCTCAGGTGGAGGTGGAGGAGGTGGCGTCTCAGGTTCTTCTTCAGATTCACCTGAATCGCCATCCTCTGAGCCGTCCTCCCCCTCCCCATCACCGCCATCTTCTGTGTCATTTCCCTCCCCTTCTCCGCTCCCCCCTCCCCCCTCACCCCCTTCCTCTCCACTTCCCCCCTCCCCTCCGCTCCCCCCATCCTCCCCGCTTCCTCCCCCCTCTCCGCTTCCCCCCACATCTCCGCTTCCCCCCACCTCTCCGCTTCCCCCCACCTCTCCACTTCCCCCCTCACTCCCTCCTCCACCTTCCCCTGCTCCTCCTTCCGAAGGTTCCTGTGAACCTTCCCCCGACCCTGAAGAATCACCTGGTGGAGTACCATCAGAGGTTTCATCTCCACCTGGATTGTCCACGTCAGCTGGCGGGGGTGGAGTTACATCTCCTGTATTTTCGGTTCCATCTCCAGGAGGAGTTTCATCTGCCGGAACGCTTCCGTCCGTTGATGTTCCTTCGCCAGTTCCAGTTTCATCACCTGGTGCTGTTGTGTCATCTGTTCCTGTATCAGACGTTCCCGTATCATCTGTTCCCGTATCGTCTGTTCCTGTATCAGTCATTCCCGTATCAGTCGTTCCTGTATCAGCTGTTCCCGTATCGTTTGTTCCTGTATCAGTCGTTCCCGTATCAGTCGTTCCAGTATCAGAGGTTCCCGTATCAGCCGTCCCCGAAACAGTCGTTCCCGAATCAGTCGTTCCCGAATCAGCCGTTCCCGAATCAGCCGTTCCCGTATCAGCCGTTCCCGTACCAGGTGTTCCCGTTTGAGGCGTTCCCGTTACAGGGGTCGTGCCACCCGTATCAGCGTCGCAACCCACCTCGTTGCTACCATCGTTACAGTCGCGCGTGCCGTCGCACGAGCGACTCTCCTCGTAACACTGCACGCCGTCGTCGCACTTGCTCCACCCCGTGGGACAATCGTACGTCGCGCAGAACGCGGCGTCCTCGTCGGAAGGCCCGTCCGCGTCGCTGCAGTTGGGCGGCCCGCTGCGTGTCGCTTATGCACTCGTCGGTCGTCGCACAAACGAACTGCGATGGAGGAAGGGGAAAAAGTACGGGAGGGACGGAAGTTTCGGTCGAGTCTTAGTAGCGTCGCATTCCTTCGTGTCGCTTGTAAAGGTGACATTTGAGCCGACTCTAATGTCACCTGTTCACTCATCGATTGTCACGCACTTCCTCGTCGCAACTGCGGACGAGCCAGTGGCAAGTGCGGAGAAGGATGGGGGCAGCCTGCAGGCGGCGGGAAAAGGGGGGAAGGACGCGGGGGCAAAAGAGGAGTGCGTGGAGCGAGGGGCATTGGGAGGATCGTACTTGGTCAGTATTGGGTGACGCGTAGCGACCTTACTCACTCCCCTCAACGCGCTTTCGCCCCTCTCTGCGCCCACCTGTACTCCTTTCAACCTTGCGCGCCGTCGCTTCCGTCCCAAAACCCCGCCTCCTCCTCCTCGGCCTCCTCCGCGTCCCCCGGCGCGCGCATGCGCCGCTGCTCCTCCGCCTGCAGCAGCTCCAGCAGAAGCTGCTCGCCCGCTGCGCTCTCCCCGTCGCCCTCGCGCCCCATGCTCCGCAGGACCGACGCGCGCCCGTCCGCCTGCGCGCGGGTGGCTTCCGCCATCTCCTCGTAAACGCGCGCCAGGATGCCCGCCAGCTCCGCGCTCTCCGCCTTCTCACTCCCCCCTGACCCCCCTGCACTCTTATCCCCGATATTATCTGCATCGTTTGCGGCAATTCAATTTGGCTCTCCTTCGCTCGCGGCGGAGACGAGCCGGCTGGAGAGACTGCGGCTCCGCGGGATGCTCCCGCTCTGCCGGCCGGGTAGCCGCGACAGCCGTAGCGATACGGAATACCGGAGAAGCTGATAGCGAGACGGCGGAACTAAGGGCCGCCATTGGTGGTTGGAGGCGGGAGCGCGTAGGGTGGTTTCGGAGTGCAAGCGGGGGTGCAGCGGGTGGCGCGACACAGGGTATGCCTCCATGCGCTCGCTCGCCCTGCCGGCAAGGGAGCAGGCGAGCGTCGTGTTCCCGCGGAGGTTTGCCTTGAGACTACCTATTGAGACGTCAGACACAAACTCTATCACGGTCGAGAGGCATAGTGCTCGTGGAAGGTGACGCGAAAATAGTAAAATTACTGCAGACGTGATTGTGAAGTGATTGAAGTGATTGTGAAGTTGCTGGAACTGGACGTGCTGGTTTGGTTGCACGCAGCAGACGGGAGAGGCACGGGGCTGTTGACTGGGTGGGGAGGGAACACACTCTTGAAAAGCAGGTGGTGGCGATGCGATGCGGGTAACAGGAGTTCGGATAACGCTGTGAGGAACCTGGCCGCAAATTTGTCTTGATGAGGTTGTGCGAAATACCTCGATTAGAAGGTGCTGCACTGTTATTCTGCAACACTTCATTATCCATGAGTTGGAAAAACTCATGAGTGTTACGTGAGCAGTGGAATGAGCGAGTGAAATTGCACTGAAGAGTCAGAGTACAAAAACTCTATTTTGCAATCTCCTAATTCCGAGCACCGAATCCTCTTGCTCCAGCAGCCACTGCCGTATTGTCCCCTAGCTGCTGCGAGAAGCCTGCTCGGCTCTTCTTCCGCTTTGCCTTGCCGGAACTGGCCTGCATGCAGATAATGGCCCAAAAAGGGAAAAACAGACGAACAAACAAGCAAACAGTCTCCGGTCATGAGAACCTGAAGGCAAATGGTCGTGAAATGACATGCAGAAAATAGCTTCTCCAGAAAGGACGTACCTTCTTGGCACCGGATGTGTCGAGGCCGGGAATGGAGGGCATGGCCTTGCCAGACACCATGTCGGCCACGGCCTTCATGCGCACCCGCATCTGGAACAGCTGCGATATCAGCGCACTCACCTGCACAGCACAGCACCGCACAGCACACGGGCAACTTCCACTGCATCAACCACGGCAAACCACACTCCTAGATGACAGGAATGAAGTGCAAGGATCAAGGGCAGGGCAAAAGGATGTTCATTGGCTCGTGCTCTTCACCTGCCCACCTGCTCCTGCTTCACCTGCCCACCTGCTCCTGCTTCACCTGCCCACCTGCTCCTGCTTCACCCGCCCACCTGCTCCTGGCTTCTGCCCGAGCCTTTGGCGATTCGGCGGCGGCGCGACGGGCTCTTGGCAAGCAGCTCCGGGTCCGCCCGCTCCTCTGATGGGTGCCGTGCGGTGCGGTGCAGTGCGCGGGGGAGGGGCGGGGGGCATGGGGGGACGAGTGCATGCACAGGGATACTGAGTAGCAGGACAGTGAAAAAAGGGAGGCGGAGAAAGTCTGCCACGTTGGCGAGCTTTTGACAAGGCTGTGGGAACCAGGTGGTCAGAATGAACCAGGTGGTCAGAATGAGACGAATGCGAGCAACGGTGTGGGAATGAGTCACAGTGGGTGATGGACGGTGGAGAGGGGTGGAGTGGGGTGGAGGGGCACTCACGGGCGGTCATGGAGGAGATCATGGACTCCATGACCTTGAGGCTCTTCTCTGCCTCGCGCACCTGCTGCGGTGTCAGCTGTCACCGCACAGCATGGGGTGTGGGGCGATGCATGAGGAGGAGAGAGGACACAGCAGTCAGGGAGGGTGGCAGAGGCAGGGCACGTGATGAGGAGGCTGAGGGCAGGGCTGTGGCAGGAGGGGAAATGAGTGGCTGTGGCAGGAGAGGAAATGAGAATGAGAGGAGAACAGAACGCCAGTTACAGTGCTGTGGCAAGTTGGGCGAGGCAAGCCAATGGAAAAGCATACAGCAGACGGTGCGGAATTGGGGATGCAAAGCAGGTGGGAGAGGGGAGGGCGCGCGGGGGAATGCGAATGCCTTGTTCATGCTGGGGATGAGCTTGAGCATGCCTCCCATGCACCCCATGCACCCCATGCACCCCATGCACCCCATGCACCCCATGCACCCCATGCACCCCATGCACCCCATGCGCCCCATCATGCTTTGAGTCAACTCTAATCACACCTTGTTCATGCCGGGGATGAGCTTGAGCATACCGCCTATGGACCCCATGCAAGAGCATACAGCAGAGGTGTGATGTGAAATTGAGGATGCAAAGAAGGTGGGGGGGAGGAGGCGGGCGATACCTTGTTCATGCCGGGGATGAGCTTGAGCATGCCCCCCATGGACCCCATGCGCGCCATCATGCGCGTCTGCTTGAGCATGTCGTTGAAGTCAAACTTGGCCTCCATGATGCGCTTCCTCAGCTCCGCCTCGTCCTCCTTGTCCATCTGCCATCACCCATGCCATAAGCCATGCGTCATGTGAGAGGAGCAATGCACCACATTTCATTCAGCAGCAACACGCTGAGTTTGCACTTTCAGCACATCGACCGCAACACAAAACACGACCATGATCCACTCACACCAACCATGATCCACTCACAACAACCATGATCCATTCACACCAACCATGATCCACTCACTACAGCCATGATACACTCACACCAACCATGATCCACTCACAACAACCATGATCCACTCACAACAACCATGATCCACTCACAACAACCATGATCCACTCACAACAACCATGATCCACTCACAACAACCATGATCCACTCACAACAACCATGATCCACTCACAACAACCATGATCCACTCACAACAACCATGATCCACTCACAACAACCATGATCCACTCACAACAACCATGATCCACTCACAACAACCCACACCCTTTCCTGCCGCCTGCCCCACCACAGCGAACCTTGCTCCCCCTTTCACCAGACGCGCTACCCCAATACTCCACTGCCCATCGCCCCATTGCCCATTGCCCATTTCCCCATTGCCCATTTCCATTGCCCATTGCCCATTGCCCCACTGCCTATTTCCCCCTGCCCATTGCCTACTGCCCCACTGCCCACTCCCCGCTGCCATTTCCGAGCAGGAGCATGTGAGTGCGCGGGGCATTGCCCACTGCCCCGCACTGCCCACTGCCCCGCACTGCCCAACTCCTGCGCCTTGTCGACGAGCGAGAGCATGTCGTCCATGCCCACGATGCGGCTGGCCTTTGAGTCGACTCAAAGTATGGCCACTGCCCATTGCCCCACTGCCTAAAACCCCACGGTCCACTGCACTGCAGGAGCGTGTGTGTGCATGCACGGAGCACTGACCATCTCCTGCGCCTTCTCGACGAATGAGAGCACATCGCCCATGCCGAGGATGCGGCTGGCCATGCGGTCGGGGTAGAAGGGCTCCAGTGCGCTCATCGTCTCGCCCTCTCCCACAAACTTGATCGGGCGCCCCGACACCTGCACGCACATGCACACGCACATGCACATCCCCATGCCCATGCACATGCGCGCATAGGGGGGGCAGATAGACATCTTCCAGCGAGAAAATGTCAAACGATCGGCTCCAGTGCGCTCATCGCCTCACCCTCGCCCACAAACTTGATGGGTCGCCCCGACACCTGCACACGCCACACACGCGAACAGGCACACACGCACAGGGGGAGTAGGCAGGTGGTGGGAGGGCAGGGTGCAGGTAGCTTCAGAGTGAGTGGGAGGCCCAAGGCAACAAGAAGCACATGGGAAAGAGACTAACCCTAGTGGCGATGCGGTGCGCGTGAGTGACTGACTGACTGAGTGACTGACCTCCTTGACGCTGAGGGCAGCGCCGCCACGCGAGTCGCCGTCCACCTTGGTGAGGATGGCGCCCGTGATGCTCACCTCCGCGTTGAATGAGGCAACCAGACCTGCACCACGCCACAAGGGGGCAGCACGAGGGGACAGCATGGGGGGGGAACCAAAGGGGGGCAGCACGGGGGGCAGCACAAGAGGGAAGGGGGGCAGGGGTGAGGATGGGCCCGTGATGCTCACCTCCGCGTTAAACGACGCCACCAGACCTGCACCGTGCGGGGGAACGCAGAGCAGGGCGCAGCGAGACAGAAGATGGGTAGGGGTGGAAACGCGCCCTCATAGCCAAGTCGACACTTTTTTCACCCCCCAAACAAGCCCAACTCCCACTGCACACAATCCATAATCCAACCCCCCGCTCCTGAATCAACTCCTGTGCACCTTATGTTGTTTGCACGTGTTGGAAAAACTTTTTTTTTTTTCTTTTCTTTTCTTTTTCACCCTTGTCAGTGCCTCTACTGCACCTCCACCTCCCCCTCCTCCCCCTCCTCACCCCCCTGATCCCCGGGTTTTTGTTGCCTGCCCGGGGTTCTCTTAGCCTGCCTTCTCGAGCTTCAGACCGAGGTCAACAAATTCACCCAGAGGGCCTCAAGGGTCATGACCTTAGCGACTCACTGGCAGCCTCCTGGACCGTCATGGCATCGACGACAAGAAGCATCTCCGTGGGGTTCACAGCCGTGGGGCTCACCGCACACCACCGCACAGCACCGCACAGCACAGCACAGCACCGCACAGCACAGCTTTTGACTCACTGGCGGCCTCCTGGCCTGTCATGGCATCGACGACTAGCAGCACCTCCGTGGGGTTCACAGCCGCCTTGATGCCCCTCAGCTCCTCCATCATGCTGCGGTCTATCTGCACCCACCACCACCGCACAGCACCGCACAGCACAGCACCACCACCACACAGCACCACCGCCACACAGCACCACCGCCACACAGCACAGCACAGCACAGCACACCAGGACCACGCCGCACCACGCCACCCCACACAGCAGCAGCAGCAGCAGCAGCACCAGTCAGGAACGATGTAGCCAAACAAAGCAGCGTGGGTGCAACAAATGCATAGCGACCAGCACAATCACCACATGCACGCTCACCTGCAGGCGACCAGCTGTGTCCACAATCACCACATGCACGCTCACCTGCAGGCGACCAGCTGTGTCCACAATCACCACATCCACGCCCGCTTTCTTGGCGGCCGCCACGCCCTGCCGTGCAATGTCCACCGGCCGTGCGTCCGTGCCCTCTGCATACACCGGCACGCCCACCTGCCACATAAAAACCGCGTGAACTTAGACGAATTATGAGGCACCTCAAAACACGCCCTGCCGTGCTATGTCCACCAGCCGCGCGTCCGTGTCCTCCGCGTATACCGGCACGCCCACCTGCCAGCCACCGTAGGAGGAAGGAAAGCAGGAGGTGCAGTGGGGAAAAGAGCATTATTCTCAAGGGGCCAGGCCAGCGATGGGTTGATCGCCATTCACCGCCACGCCCTGCCTTGCGATGTCCACTGGCCGCGCGTCCGTGCCCTCCGCATACACCGGCACGCCCACCTGCCCCCCCCCCCCCCCCCCCCCCCCCCCCCACGCACGCATGCACGCAGGTGGGATGTGGGAGCGCTGAGTTGCAAAGGGGACGGGTCACGGGCAGCACGAGGTGCAGCGGGGGGAAGGGCAGCACAAGGTGCAGCGGGGGGAAGGGCAGCACGAGGTGTGGCAGGGAGAGGGCAACTTGCTCAAGGGGCCAGCGACGGGTTGATTGCCATTCACCACCACCTTACTCACCCACCCCCACACCCTTCCACTGCCTTGCCCTCACCTGCGCGCCCACCCACCCCCACACCCTTCCACTGCCTTGCCCTCATCAACTGCTCACCTGCGCGCCCAGTGTCTGCAGCTCACCTGCGCGCCCAGTGTCTGCAGCTCACCTGCGCGCCCAGTGTCTGCAGCTCACCTGCGCGCCCAGTGTCTGCAGCTCACCTGCGCGCCCAGTGTCTGCAGCTCACCTGCGCGCCCAGTGTCTGCAGCTCACCTGCGCGCCCAGTGTCTGCAGCTCACCTGCGCGCCCAGTGTCTGCAGCTGCTCGATAGCGGCGGGGCGGTACACGTCTGTTGCCACCATCATGCACGACTTGCCCTGGGGGGGGAAGGGGGGGGAGGGGTGGGGAAGGGGGAGTGGCGGGGGCAGGTAGGTTGGGGGTAGTGCGGTGGGGCGGGGCGGTACTCGTCCGTGGCCACCATCATGCACGACTTGCCCTGGGGGGGGGCCAGGGGAGGGGGAGTTGGGGGAGACGGGAGCGGGGGGGAGGGTTGTTAGAGCGGTGGGACGGGGCGGCACACGTCTGTTGCCACCATCATGCACGTCTTGCCCTGGGGGGGGTGGGCGGGGGAGGGGCGGGGGAGTAGGGGGGGAGTGGGGGGCGGGGCGATACACATCCGTGGCCACCATCATGCATGACTTGCCCTGTGGGGTGCGCGGGGGAGGGGCGGGGAAGGGGGAGTGGGGGGAGGGAGGGGGGGGGGAAGGGGCGGGGAAGGGGGAGTGTAGGGGGACGGGTAGTGCATACGGGACAGGGCGATAGAGGTCCGTGGGTGGCCACCAGCATGCACGTGCGCGCGCCACAGGGCGCGGGGGAGGGGCGGGACAGGGGGGTGTGGGGGGGACGGGTAGTGTGGCGGGATATGGTGTAGTAAACCCATGCAGTGAGGAACGAGCACGCATGAGCGCATGCGCGCAAAGTGCACGGGAGCACACTGGCAGGCGAGAGTCATCACACACGCACATGACATGAGCACCAGGGCAGCGCATGAGCACACGGCCAGCAGCACCTGTCATCTGGCTGCAGCAACACATACCTGCCCCGTCTCACTCCCGTTGCCTCGCTTCTCCACTCCATACCCCTGCGCGCGGCCTTCCCCCCACTCCCCCTCCTCCCTACCTCCCTCTCACGGAACGCACCTTCTTCTTGAGGAACAGCGCGAGCTTGCCACACGCAGTAGTCTTCCCGACGCCCTGCAGCCCCGCCATGAGCACCACGGTGGGGCCCTTGCGGCACGCCAACACCGTCGCCCCCCCTCCCCCCCCCTCACTCCCCCAACTCACCTTCTTTTTAAGCAAGAGAGCGAGCTTGCCACACGCGGTGGTCTTCCCGACGCCCTGCAGCCCCAACACCCTCCTCCCTCCGCCCTCCCCCCTCCCCCCTCCCCCCTCCCCCCTCCCCCCCCCTCACTCCCCCAACTCACCTTCTTTTTAAGGAACAGCGCGAGCTTGCCACAAGCAGTGGTCTTCCCGACGCCCTGCAGTCCCGCCATGAGCACCACGGTGGGGCCCTTCCCCGCAGGCGCGTACGCGATCTCCGCCACGTTGCCCCCCATGAGCGCCACCAGCTCGTCGTTCACCACCTTGACCAGCTGCTGGTCCGGCCGCACGCCGCGAATCACGTCCACCCCCACCGCCTTCTCTGTCACCTCGCGCACAAACCGCCGCACCACCGGCAGACTCACCTGCGGCGCCACGGGGGGAGGGGGGGGGCAGGGGGGGTTCACGGGAGAATGCGGAAGGGGGAGGATTGGGGGAGGAGTGGATGGGGATGCGCGTTGGTGGAGCGGTGGCGCGTGAGCGCAATGTGCGGTGGAGCGGTGGCGCGTGCGTATCAATCGCAGCTAAACTCACATCGGCCTCAAGCAGCGCGCGCCGAATGTCTCGCATCGGCTCCTTAATGTTGTCGCGCGTCAGCTTGTCTGCAATCGCGGAGGGGGGAGGGAGGGGGAGAAGGGAGGAGAAAGGAGGGGACTTTTGAGGCGCCTCAAAAGTCGAATGTCTCGCATCGGCTCCTTGATGTTGTCGCGCGTCAGCTTGTCTGCAATTGTGGCAATTGTGGGGGGGAGAAGGTGAAGAGAAAGGAGGGGAAAAGGGTGGGTGGGTGGGTGGACCAGCGGGCAGCGCGCAGGAAAGGAGCGGACGAACAGCGAACCGATCAAGACACGTGCGAGCACGTGTCATTCGGAATGCGAGCCGCATGTCGGCGTGTGCCGGGCACGCGCTCCGGTGGCGCACCTTGCGCGCGCAGCTTGGTCCACGCCTGCTCCAGGCTCGAACTCAGCTGGTCGAACACCGCCGCGCGCACCACTACGCGCCCCGCCGGCCCCGCGCGCCGTGCCGCGCGCCGCGCGCTGCTCTCCAGCCGGCAGCCCAGGAGGCCCGACGACTCCGCGAACGCGGTGGACGCGCCGGCGGCGAATAGCGACGATCGCAGAGGCGGTTGGGCGACTGCTCTCAGAGTCGCACGTGGGGGTGCTGCGACGGATGCGAGGTGCGCGTGCGATGTGCGCGACGAGGCGAGCTGCTGCGAGGGAAGCGTCGCGGCCATGGTCGGATGAGGCGCGGCGCGGAGGCTCGTCATTCTTACTCCTCGGGACGAAGCTCGTGAGGCGCGCGGCCTGTCGGGTGGGAAGTGACGGGGGCGACGCGACAAGCTACTCCTATCCTGCTAAGGTGGACGAACTTACTCGTGTTACAGTATGTGGGGATTGGATTGGAGGGTGAGAGGGAGGGTGAGGGAAGGATTTCATCAGCTGCTTACTGGACAGCTTGGTTGCTTTCCACGTGGCTGCTCGCTGCTGGAACCTCTTTCATATAACGAGGTTTCAATGCTTCTGCTGCATTCTAGATTCGCCTTATGTTTCCTTTGTATAGTGTAAATGTATTTAATAACCACACATATATCTTATTTCTCATCTTCATATGCATTCTCTACCTGAATAATCCAAAAATTCCTAATTTTCCACTTTATTATATGTAACCACCTATTGGAAGGGGCTTGCGCTTCCTAATATTTGGAAGGAAATTGTTCTCTATATATTTCTAACATTTCACATTTGAAGGAACACCATTTTTTTTTCTTAGGCAGTTTAGCAAGTCGGCTCATAGCACGAATTGCCGACGGTATCGTCACTCCACCACAGCCGCATCCGGCCCGCAGTACGGTAATCGCATCGTGAAGGAATCCGCCACGACAACCTCGTGCGTCCGCTCCCTGCGCGCGTCACGTCCAGTGCCCGCCCGCCATGACCTATTACCGCGCGCGCGGGCACCCCCTCGATTCCCTCGTCGATCTCTCGCACCTCTCCTCCGTGCCCTCGCCCGCACACCCCTCCGCTCCCGCGCACAACTCCCATCCGCTCGCGCAGCGGTTCTCCGCGCCCACCTCCCCTTCCGGCTCCTCCGTTCACTCCGCCTTCGGCCCCTCCTCCGCTTCTGTCATTCTCCCCCCTTCTTCCGCCTCCGCAATCCTTCCGCCCCCTTCCCGCGGAGCCTCCGCCAACTACCGCTCCGCGCTTTCCAAGCCTGGCGCGATGGGCCCAGGCGGAGGGGGAGCAGGCGCGGGTGGCGTGGGGGAATGGGTAGCGGAAGTACACGCGCAGCGGAGAGGGAATGATGGGGGAGTGACGGGCGAAGGGGCTGGGCGAGGGGAAAGGCAGGGAAGCTCCGCGGATCGGGGGGGAACGACGCGAGGGGGTGAGAAGGCGTGGGGGTCCGGGGGGGGCGTAGGCCAGTCAGTGGAGGGTGGCGGTGGGTCAGGGGGGGAGGGAAGGGGAAGGCAAGGCGAGGGGAGCAATGTGAGTGTCGCGGTGAAAGCAGCAGCAGCTGCTCGTATTGATGCTCCTTCTGCTGCTGTTGCTCTTGAAGATGCTGCTGCCACTGCCACTGGCACCGGCACCGGCACTGGCACTGGCACTCTGCCTCCCCCAGCACCTGCTGTTTCTGCTGCTTCTCTCCGCCCGCCCTCGTCCTCCTCCTCCGCCGCCTCGCCCCTTCATGCCCAAACCTCATCCCTCGCCTCCCCTTCCCCTGCCACCCCCGCCCCAACACCCCCTGCCCCCTCCACAATCTCTGCTGCTCACGCACCAGCAGCAGTGCCAGCAGCAGCAGCAGCAGCAGCAGCAGCAGCAGCAGCAGCAGCAGCAGCAACTGCCGCCACTGCTCCACCTGCCCACACCCACCAGTCCTTCTCGCTCTCCTCCTCCCCCTCTAATCCCACAGCCCTCCACCCATCACCCACCCCATACCCCCTCTCCCCGCGCTCTCACTTCGTCCCGCTCTCCTCCCCTTCTCGCCCGCGCCCTGCCCTGCCCCTCTCCCCCTCCCCCACATACGACCTCCCTATCGCGCATCACAGCTCCTCCCCCTCCGCCAGTGCTTCCCCCTACCCCCCTGCGCGCAGCCCCTTCTCTCCCCCATCCACAGAGCTCCAGGCAGTTGCAGCAGCAAGAGGGGCGGGCAGGGCGGGCAGGGAGGGGGGCATGGCGCGGGGAGGGGGGGAGCTGTGGCGAGAGCGGGTCCTGGCAGCAGCGGGGGCAGCAGGGGGGGCCGCGCCCTCCGCTGCCCCCCCACCAGCAGCACAAGCGGTGGGGGGAGCAGGTGGGGCGGGGGAGCTGGCGATGGGGGGACAGAGGGCCGATGCGGGGGGACTGCTGGGGGGAGTGATGGCGCAGAGGCGAGCAGTGGGAGGAGGGGGGAGAGGGGGGGCAGGAGGGGTAGGTGCCATGGGGGCATGGTACAGGGTTGGGGGGGCAGGGGGGGCGGGTGGGGAACAGTATGGGGATGGGTACGGGGAGGCGCATAAGAGGAGGCGGAGGGGGGTGGTGGGGTTGGCGGTAGGAGCAGCAGAGCAGGTGTGGCGGTGGTGGCAGGAGGCAGAGTGGGTGCGGGACTTGGTGAGAGACGGCAGGGACGGCAGGGAGGAGAGAGAGGGGAGAGAGGCGAGGGAGGGGAGGGAGGAGAGAGAGGGGAGGGAGGGGAGGGAGGGGAGGGAGGGGAGGGAGGGGAGGGGAGCACGGAGGAGGCAGGTGGCGATGGTGGGGTTGGGTGCGGTGGGCGGCTGTGTGCTGGTGGGGCTGCTGCTGCTGCTGCTGCTGCGCCAGCCCCTCCCTGCCCTCCACTCGCAAGGTGGGCCACCAGCACGTGCCACCCACACCACACATGCACTGCACTGCTGCCCTGCTTTCACGGCGCTGCTGCCTTCCCTCCCATGCTGCCGCCACACTCTCGCAGTCGGTCACTCACTCACTCACTCACTCGCTCACTCATGCCAACCAGGGCCACTCCCTACCTGCCTGGCTCTTCCGCCTCAGCAGCACCCGCCACGACCCCCCAACACCCTCAACCTCATCCCTTGCTCCCTCCCCTCCCTTCTACCCCTCCAATCTCCCCCATCCCCCCCCCCCCTCCCCATGCACCCGGCAGCAGGAGAACCCTCGCCCTGGGCGGCACCAGGAGCAGCAGCGCTGCACTGCGACTTGGTGCTGCACTCCCAGGCGGACCTGCCCCGCCCGGCCCCCCCATAACCCCCATTCTCCCCATGCCCCTCACCCCCCATTCTCCCCATGCCCCTCACCCCCCATTCTCCCCACGCCCCTCACCCCCCATTCCCCTCCCCACCACCAGGCCGAAAGTGACCCCTCGGCCCGGGCAGTGTCAGGCAACACAGCAGCGCTGCAGGGCGACCTGCTGCTGCACGCCCAGGCGGATCTGGCGCGCCTGGAGGGCGCGGAGGAGGGGCAGTCGTGCTGGGCGCTGCACGAGCGCCCGCTGCTCCTACCCCCCTCGCCCCACTCGCCCTCCCCCGCTCTGCTCGCTGCTCTCCGCGCCTACGAGCACATGCACGAGGTGAGGGAGGGAAGGGGAGGGGAGGGGAGGGGAGGGGAGGGGAGGGGAGGGGAGGGGAGGGGTGCTGGTGGAGTGATAGAGAGGGGAAGAGGGGGATGGTTATCGTGGTGATGGGATGATGCTACTGCCATGCGTACACACATACCCATCCTCTCTCCTTCCCATCTGCTTATTGGCTCCCTTTACCACCCGTCCATCTTGCTCCCTTCTCGCGCCATGCACGTCGCCACATGCACCTCGCTGCATGTATGCATGTCTCTCCCCGTGTGTGTATGTGTGTGACAACAGGAGTGTGTGGCGGGCGTGCAAAGCTGGGAGGCACACGCAGAGAAGCTAGAGGCGCCAAGAAGCACATGCAGGTGAGCAGCACGCACAGCATGAACCGCACCTCCCTCCCACCACACCTCCTACCCCCCTCTCCTCCCTACCGCCCTCTCCTCCCTCCCTCCCACCCTCTCCTCCCTCTACAGCTACCTGGTGTGGTACGAGCCGCAGACGCGTCCCAGTGTGAGTGTGATGGGCAACTGCAGCACGCGAGTGTGACATGCGTGCTAATTCAACGGATCATTCCCTCCAATAACAGCCCCCTTCCCCCTCTCGCCCTCTGCCTCCCCTCCCCCCTTCCCGCCCCCCCACAGCTACCTGGTGTGGTACGAGCCGCAGACGCGCCCCAGTGTGGTTGTGAGCGGCAGCCGCAGACCCGTGCTGTTCCCTCTGCCCACAACTCCCTCCTGCCTCCCCGCCACGCCACTCTGCCCCCCCCCGGCAGCTACCTGGTGTGGTACGAGCCACAGACGCGCCCCAGTGTGGCGCAGCGCCTGCTGTCACTGCTCTCCGCCTTCCTCTACGCGCTGCTCACCCACCGCGCCCTGCTCGTTGACACGCACGGCGACCTCCCCAGGTGAGTCTCACTTCTGAGAATCCTCTAAAGCGACTCACATGTGGCACAGCGTGTGCCTGTTGTCGCTGCTGTCGGCCTTCCTCTGTGCGCTGCTCACCCACCGCGCCCTGCTCGTTGACACTCAGGGCGACCTCCCCAGGTGACTACCACATTGCTACTGCTTGTTGAGTCGACTCAAAGGCCACCTTCCTCAAAGCTCGCCTTCCTCTACGCGCTGCTCACCCACCGCGCCCTTCTCGTCGACACGCATGGCGACCTGTCCAGGTCACGCACGCTCTTTCACGCCCAGCTGCACTCGCTTTCTATTTTCCTGCCTTGCCCGCTTAGCACCGTCACGTGACACGCTGATGCTGCATGTGTGACACAACCCCAGCCCATCTCCGCGCTCTCATACCCATCTCCATTACCATTACCACTACCATTATCATTACTATTAAAATTACCATTACCATTACTATTTTAAATACCATTACCGTTACCACTGTCATTACTGTTAACATTACCATTACCACTACCATTACTTTTATCATTACCATTACAACTGCCATCATAACCATTACTAATATCATTTACACTACCATTTTCATTACCACTATCTTCATTATCATTATCATTACTATTAGCATTACCATTACCATTATCACTACCATTACCATTACCATTACTATAACCATTACCATAACCATTACCATTATCATTACCATGACCATTATCATAACCATTACCATTACCATTATCATTACCATTATCACCACCTCCACCATTACCATTACTATTACCATTACCATAACCATTGCGATTAACATTACCATTACCATTACCTTCACCCCATCACACACTCTCATACCCCATCTCCACGCTCTCATGCCACATCCACTGCCTGTGTGCCACACTATCTGTGTGCTGCAGCACAAGCACTGCCTGTGTGCCACACTATCTGTGTGCTGCAGCACAAGCACTGCCTGTGTGCCACACTATCTGTGTGCTGCAGCACAAGCACTGCCTGTGTGCCACACTATCTGTGTGCTGCAGCACAAGCACTGCCTGTGTGCCACACTATCTGTGTGCTGCAGCACAAGCACTGCCTGTGTGCCACACTATCTGTGTGCTGCAGCACAAGCACTGCCTGTGTGCCACACTATCTGTGTACCCCATCACCACGCTCTCATACCCCATCTCCCCTTCCCCCTTCCCCCTTCTCCCTCCCTCTACCTCCTGACTCCCCCCCCCCAGTCTGCTATGCAACCCCTTCCCGCGCTCCTCCTGGTGGTTGCCCGCGCAGCTGCCAGCACACTTCCGCCTGCACCCGCCGCACCAGGGAGAGTGGGTGAACGGCAGCACAAGCAACCAGTACTATGCGGTGAGTTGGTGTGAGAGCGACGGACGGAGGGTAGGAAGAGGTGAGTGAGTGCATGAGAAAGGTGGGTGGGTGAACGGGGCAGAGAAGGGAGAGCAAGGGATGGGTGATGGAAACGAGAGGGGAGAGGAGGTGAGGGTGTCTGCTGCTGTCGTCTTTTCTTTTCACATGCACTTTCCTCTCCCTCCCCCTCCATCCTCTTCTTTTCAACGTATTCCTCTTGTCTTTGTCCCTTCGTCCCACCCCTTCCCCCTCCGGTCCGGTCATCCCCCCACCAGCCTCTCAACCGCAGGGACGTTGCAACCATCTACTTTGAGGTGAGTGCCGTGCCCATGCCCATGCCCATGCACGTGCACATGCACATGCACATGCACATGCACGTACACACGCACGCGCCCATGCACACACCCACGCCCACGCCCACGCCCACGCACATGCACGTATTCAAGCACATGTACGTATTCAAGCACATGTACGTATTCAAGCACATGTACGTATTCAAGCACATGTACGTATTCAAGCACATGTACGTATTCAAGCACATGTACGTATTCAAGCACATGTACGTATTCAAGCACATGTACGTATTCAAGCACATGTACGTATTCAAGCACATGTACGTATTCAAGCACATGTACGTATTCAAGCACATGTACGTATTCAAGCACATGTACGTATTCAAGCACATGTACGTATTCAAGCACATGTACGTATTCAAGCACATGTACGTATTCAAGCACATGTACGTATTCAAGCACATGTACGTATTCAAGCACATGTACGTATTCAAGCACATGTACGTATTCAAGCACATGTACGTATTCAAGCACATGTACGTATTCAAGCACATGTACGTATTCAAGCACATGTACGTATTCAAGCACATGTACGTATTCAAGCACATGTACGTATTCAAGCACATGTACGTATTCAAGCACATGTACGTATTCAAGCACATGTACGTATTCAAGCACATGTACGTATTCAAGCACATGTACGTATTCAAGCACATGTACGTATTCAAGCACATGTACGTATTCAAGCACATGTACGTATTCAAGCACATGTACGTATTCAAGCACATGTACGTATTCAAGCACATGTACGTATTCAAGCACATGTACGTATTCAAGCACATGTACGTATTCAAGCACATGTACGTATTCAAGCACATGTACGTATTCAAGCACATGTACGTATTCAAGCACATGTACGTATTCAAGCACATGTACGTATTCAAGCACATGTACGTATTCAAGCACATGTACGTATTCAAGCACATGTACGTATTCAAGCACATGTACGTGCTGCTCCGCCTGTGAACCATTGTGCAGGCCACGTATACTCTCCATCCCCCCCTTTGCTCACTCTGCTGCACTCAACTTGCCAGTCTCTCGCGTCTCCGCATCCGCACTCGCCGCCCTTCCTTCTTCCCATCCGCACCACCCAGGCACATCACTCCCCATGGGACCAGCACCTGCTCTCCATGCACGTCCCCCTGGCCCTCCCCTCCTCCCGCACTAACTGCTCCTTCCACACTATCCACCCCATCCACACCATCCACACCATCCACACTATCCACACCATCCACCCCATCCACACTATCCACACCATCCACACCATCCACACCATCCACCCACCCCTTCCCATCACCTCAGGCGCAGCGCTACCCATGGGACGAGCAGTTCTTCTGCTCGTCCATGCAAACCCAACTCACCCGCAACGTCACATGGCTGGCAATGCTGTGCGACCAGCACCTGCTGCCCTCGCTCTTCCTGCTGCCCGCCTTCCACCGCCCGCTGCAACGCCTCTTCCCCTCGCGCGTGCTGCTGCACCCGCTAGCGCGCTACCTGCTGCTGCCCGCCAATGCCGTGTGGGAGAGGGCGCTGCGGGCGCACCAGGGCCACCTCGCGCACGCGTGGCGGTCCGTGGGCGTGCAGCTGGCGGCAGGGGGGAGCGTTGCGGTGAAGGAGGCAATGAGGGAGGTGCGTGTGGGGGGGTGGGAGAGGTGCGAGTGGGGGGTTGGCAGCGAGGGAGGCAATGCGGGAGGTGCTCATAGTGGGGGAGGGGAGGGATGAGGGTGGTGGGGGGATGAGGGTGGTGGGGGGATGAGGGTGGTGGGGGGATGAGGGTGGTGGGGGGATGAGGGTGGTGGGGGGATGAGGGTGGTGGGGGGATGAGGGTGGTGGGGGGATGAGGGTGGTGGGGGGATGAGGGTGGTGGGGGGATGAGGGTGGTGGGGGGATGAGGGTGGTGGGGGGATGAGGGTGGTGGGGGGATGAGGGTGGTGGGGGGATGAGGGTGGTGGGGGGATGAGGGTGGTGGGGGGATGAGGGTGGTGGGGGGATGAGGGTGGTGGGGGGATGAGGGTGGTGGGGGGATGAGGGTGGTGGGGGGATGAGGGTGGTGGGGG